GGGTCCGGGGTCCCTGGGCCGGGGTCCCTGGGGCGGGGTGTCCCGGGGTCCGGGGTCCCTGGGCCGGGGTCCCTGGGGCGGGGTGTCCCGGGGTCTGGGGTCCCTGGGCCGGGGTCCCTGGGGCGGGTGTCCCGGGGTCCGGGGTCCCTGGGGCGGGTGTCCCGGGGTCCGGGGTCCCTGGGCCGGGGCGGCCTCACGTCCCGTCCCGCCCGACTCCCGGCCGCACACCCGCCGCAGGGCTCGGCCTTGGCCGTACCGGGGCCGCCGCCCGGGGCTGCGGCGGGGCGGAGCCGCGGGCCGGGCGCTGCCGTCTCGGCCGGGCTCGGTACCGAAGCAGCTCGGTACCGAACGGAGCTCCGGCCCGGGGCCCGTCCCCACCGCGCGGCTGCGGCGCCGCTGCCGTTCCCATGGCCACGGCGGGCGGGCGGGGCCGGCACTGTCCCGCCTTGCGGCCGGACCCGCCCGCCCGGCGCTGGGGGCGGCCGGCCGTGCCCGTCCCGCGGCAGCCGCGCCCCGCGGGGTTTTTCCCTGCTGCGTGCGCTCCTGCTCCCTGCGGCGCCCTTCCCGCAGGGCCTGAGGCTGCGCCCTGCCGCCTCCATCTTGTGCCGCCTCGGGGAGCGCGGCGCCGGTGCGGGGATGTGTCCGGACTCTGAGGGGACAGGGCACGAGTGAGGAAAGGAAGGACACGTGTATTTTTGCTTTTCAGCAGCTGCTGCTGGAGTTGTTTCATGGAATGCTCCCGAGACCCTCGGTTAGCGCTGAGGAAATCTGGTTTGGCAGTTACAGTTAGGGACAGGATTCAAGCCTGGGTATTCTTATTCTTGGCTTTGCTTGTTGTCACTTAGAATTTCTGCAGCTGTAAAGCGGTGAAAGTGAGTCCAGAGAAGAGCAAGGGAGTGGTGAAGGGTCTGGAGCTCTGTCCTGCGAGAAGTGGCTGAGGGAGCTGGGGTTGTTTAGCGTGGGGAAAAGGAACCTCGGTGACCTTATGTCTCTAGAATTCCTTGAAAGGATGGTGTAGCCAGCTAGAGATTGGCCTCTTTTCCCAGGCAACCTGTGACAAGACAAGAGGATACAGCCTTAAGATGTGCCAGAGGAGGTTTAGATTGGACATTAGGAGGAATCGGACATTGAGATGGACTGCGCGGGGAGGTGGCGTCACCGTCGGTGGAGGTGTTCAAGGGAAGACTGGATGTGGCACTCAGTGCCATGGTCTGTTCGACACGATAGTGTTTGGTCATAGGTTGGACTCAGTGATCTCAAAGGTCTTTTCCAACCTAATTGCTTCTCTGGTTTTGTGAAAATAGGCTGCAGGGTTGTTTTCATCTGTAGAGCATCTCAAGAGGCTTGTAAAAAGCATTACAAATAAACATCATGCTTTGCAAAACATTGCTGTTTCCTCAAGGAGGAGGCCATCCTTTTCTATAAGAAACAAAGCTGGAAGCTTCTTCATGCTAAATGTTAAAACCAAAAAACAAAAGGCTAATGCTTTTGTGAACATATGGAGATTTGCAGCAACACTGCCTAAGAATAGGACGAAAAAAAAAAAACAACCCAGAGAGATTTTAAACGGGGCCTGTCCTCTGTCTATAACCTTGAACCAAGTCCCTTATTTTATTTTGTGTATAAAACTGTGTATCAAAGGGTTATTCACAGCTTGTCACGTCTGACATAAAATGCTGGCCCCTCAGCACCTCATTACAGGAAAGCAACTTTAGGACTGTACTTCCAAATTCCTTGGCTCTGTGAATTTACTTGTAGACAATTTAACTTTGAATGCTAGTTTACTTTCTGAAAGGCCCATCCCTTGCCTGAAGCAACAACATTTTTAGGTTAGTGGGTCAACTGAAGATGTGTCTGAACTAAGAAATGCTGTCACAGCTTTGTTTCTGACAGACATAATCTACATCTGTAGGATGTGACTTCCCACAGTGGATTGAGCCATACCCTAAAGATACCTAGCAGGCTGTAAAGACCCTCGTTTTACTAAAGAGCTTTACAATGTGATACCTTATTACAATTTTTGATATGGCAACAAAAGCCATTTTTCAATAGAGCTCCCTGGCATTTGTCATTATCAAGTTCAGTTTTCCTTTCTTGTATCTTATTTCATTAAAACTCCATGATTTTCATGCTGAAATTCTTCCATGCTGAACATCTGCCTTGGGGTAATGAGGTGTGTAAACTGTACTTTGGCCAAAAAATTATTCTTTGTTGGCTCCACCCTCTGATATTTTTCCACTATAAGGTTTTCAAAGATGACTAAACAAAGGCAGCCTGGACTTCTTTTTTTCTTATGTGGAATGGATCAGAAGGAAGCCAGGTTGAGAAGGAGCAATGGAATAACTAAATGGGTTCTTGAGAGTCCTACAAGATGCCAGGACATAGCCAAACAGATAAGTACTCTCTGGAGTCACGTATGACAAAAAGTTGCTTTTACTGCATTAAATTGGACTAAATATAAGATGTTGCCACGTTTTTCTTTATTCACCATGAGCTGCCTGGCCCTGTTGCCTCTGATCTGTCAAGTGTTAGCACCTGAAAGACTGTGTAGGGAACCAGCTCTGGAGACTAATGTGGCTGAAAACTAACTTGTCAAAAAATAGAAGATAAAAGTTTTCAGGGCACTGCATAGCTGCCTGAAGGGCAGTACTCACTCATAGGAGGTGACAGGTAAATGTGGCTGAGTGAAAAAGCTCAAGGTTAAGGTTTATGGAACTTGCTTTGATTAGAGTGTGTGTGGGTAAAATATTGGCTAATTTTTAACTATATTTCTAAGAAATCTCTGTGAACTACAGGTATAAACAGTGAAAAACAAGTGTTAAAAGTTGTGTTGATTGTTACTATCTTGAGTGTTCTTTGCCTGGAATCTCCATATTCTTCTGGACCTGAAGCTGTGTGAGACTTGGCCAGGGCCCCTAGCACACTGTGTGTGCTGTGGAATGCACTGCAAGGGCTAAATGGTGAGGTTTGGTCTGAATAGGTCTTGTTTATTTATTTAATTATTTTTAATATCAACCACACATTTCTGAAGAAAAATATTCCAAAATACACAAGGCTCTGAGGAAATATTCAATCCCAGACATTAAACTTTGGCAATCTTGTCTATGATCAGTACTTTGGAAAAGTACTCAATGCTTATCTGGTAGGTTTATCTGCGTATGTCAGGGACATCCTGTTGCTCTGGTGAAAGTGAGCTGCAGTCAACTGAACTATAAGCAATCAAAAAAGATTCCTATTTCCTAAAAAAAAACAAAAACAAAAACAAAAACAAAAAAAAAACACCCCAAAAAACAACTTGACTTATGAGCTTTCTGTTTAGATCTGTGGGCCACAGGGTTGGGGTTTGGTTTTTGGTGGGTTTTTTTTCTCCATTAATAACTTTTCCAGAACAAGACTGTGTTGGTGAGCTGGGGTGTTGTCTATCTGGACCTTTTTTTTTATAGCCACTTGGCTGCAAGGCACACCTTGCTCAGGTGCTCGGATGTATGAGTAAACTGTCCACACCCTTGAGAGTTACTGCACAAAGTCTTGAGTGGATTAACTTTGCATGTTGCAAAATGGCAGAAAAGTGCGCTAGTTTAGCTGCCTGTGACAAAGGCTGAGCCAAATTAATTTTACCTCACATTAACCTTGAGATAAGATGGTGTAATTTACTGCAAGATGAATTACTGCTACTCTGTTGATGGACTTGTTATGCTGTGATGACTTGCTGATGTGTTTGAACTGTAAAATCAGACAGGGGGAAGTAGAAAATTTAGCAGGGTAGGATTAGGCACTAGTCGGGAGCAGAGCAGTAGCTGAACAAAGGCAAGATGGATTGGACACGAATGCGTGATTTTAGAGGAGAAACTTGGCTGGCTGAGCAAATTAAAAATAGTAGGAAAGTGAGGTGGTAGGAACCAGTGTGGCACAGGGAGGAGGGAGAGACAGGGTGAGCAGCCAGCAGGGCAGAACTGAAGAGGTTTGGACAAGAAAATGGGAGACCTAGGTGAGGAGCTGAAAAAGTGAGGAAGGGTGTGGAAAGGCAGGATTAGGGAGGATAAAGCGAAGAAGTTGAGCTAAATAGATGATGAGTCTCTAGTCTGTTTTTCTTTTGTCCTCCAAAGCCTGGGAGTGAACTGGGTTTCTTGAATGTGACTTTTATCCAGCAATCCATGACGATCTGTGAAGACCCTGGCAAGATGTCATCCATCTGGCTTTAAGTTTCATTCCGTAGATGGTCATCTTCTGCTCGTAGCAGGGGTCAAATAACAGCACTGTCATGGTGCTGGATGTCTGTGATACTTCCTGGCGACCTTTTCTAGTTATTAAAAAAAAAAAAAATCTAAGCTACAGGCAACAAAGTTCTAGCCTTAAAAGCACTGTTGAGGCTTTGA